ACACACACACACACACACACACACACACACACACAGACACACACACACACGCACGCTTCGTCAAGAGCCTTTCCATCTGTTTCCATCGCCCATATATCACACCCTTTCACTTCAGTCAATAAATACATACACACAAACATGCATGCCACAAGCTGTGGAATTTACATTTATTTCACATAGTAGAATTAATAAAAATAAAAAAATCTTTACTAAAATAATTAGAAATCATCTGAAATTTAATCAATTTGGGGAAAAAAGACATTCGGACATTTCTAAATTTAAAAATAAATCTGTAAAATTATATTTTAGATGGGAACTTCTTGATTCTGTAGTCAGTCCTTATTATAGTTTAAAGGTCCCCTGAAGTGCCTTGAAACACGCAGCGTTATTCTATGTGGTGACCTAATTTCAACTAAAACAGGAAGAGAGGGCGGGACATATCGAGCAGCCCCGCCCCCTTTTTAAAATAGCCAATAGCGTTTTGTTTATATCTGCTCGGGCCAGAGCCGTTGAGCTCGGTAAAAGCCGCATTTGACAGCCACAGTCTAATAGATTACCCCCTAGATTCAATATGAAACTCTTAGTAAAACAAAATAGTGGTCATAATCATGCTGAGGCTGTGTAGTTGTAAAAGTGTTTAATATATGCCGACTCGTGCATATGATCCGCTCCGTGCGATCGCGGAGCCGAAGTCCGGATCAGACTGTGCGCGCTGCCGCGGTTCACGTGAAACAACGTGAAACCAGACCTCATTTGCACCAATCTAAAGCATATTTACACAGTCTGAATCGTTCCCTATCGCCTACATTGTGCACTACGTGAAATACTACACTGTGAACAAGCGACCGATCTCAGCCTCAGGGTCTATTTATAGTGCAGGGGGCGGGGCTTCGGCTTCTAGAGAGCGTTATTATATTTTTATTAAATATTTGTTTATTTGTGGAAAATACTTTGTCATCTAAAGTATAAGTATGTTTATTTTACACATTTATTTTTTAATCCATTTTCAAATGATTTCAAATTTCTTAAATATTAATTAAAATAAATACAATTATATCGGCTTTATACCACTCTGCTTTCCAAGATATCGGCATCGGCTGTCAAAAAACACATATCGGTCGACCACTAATAAAGACTGCACCCAACAGCAGACTCACAAATCTCTATATACTTACTAAAATAATTAGAAATAAATTATATTTAAAAAAAAAAGCAATTTGACAAAAAGTCTAAATTTTAAAATAGTAATAACACATGCAATACAAAAAATTGCATGCAACATGCCACAACATTTATTTTACATACATTTATGTAATAAAGAATGACATATTTTACAAATATTTACTACAATAATTAGAAGTCAAAAATCAACGTTACAGCATTTCTAAACTTAAAAATAAATCTATACAACAAGAATAAATAGATAGTAAACAAAAATCTAAATAAAGATACATAACACATGCCTTACAAGATAGCATGCAACATGCAATAAAATTTACATTTATTTTGCAAATATTTATTTAAAATAATAAAAAATATAAATGAATTAGTTTGCAAAAAATCTAAATAATTTCTACAATTAAAAATAAAATTAAAATTAAAAAATAAATCAATTTTAGATTTTACTTATTTTACTTCTTGCTTCTATAGCCAGTCATATTACAGTTGAAATAAATTGTTGAACATTAATTAGAAATAAATCATTAAAAACCAATTGGTTTGAAAAATACTTTGACTTTAATAGAAAATAAATCTGTAAAAATAAACAGATTTATGATTATTTAATCAATCCTCTTTTATAGTTTTGAGAAAGTTTAAAAAATTTAATTATTGAAAAAAATTTATTAATTGTTGAAAAAGATCAAGAAAAATAAAGTAAACACTGTAACCAACAGTGCAATCATTAATCTAGTGAATAAGTCTATTTTATATAATATTTACTAAAATAATTGGAAATTGATACTTTGAAAGTGAATCATGGTTCATGAAAAGAGATGTTTATTAAATATTCAAAGATGTGTTTAAATGATTTTTTTTGTCTATTATTAGACAGGACTGGAGCTCCAGTGCATCTGTGTCAAAATAAAAGTCCCCTTTACAAACACAAACACTCATCCCTGGTCACGTGACCTGGAGGCAGGCTCTGATTGGCCAGTGTGAGTGTGTGGGTGTAGCTCACCGGCGGCGCTGAGGATGGTGTCTGTGGTGCTGCTGAGCTCCAGGAGGATTGTGGGATAGTTCGGGTGGAGCAGGAAGAGCTTGCGGAGGACCGGCTCTGCCACCTGCGGGACACAAACACAGCCGATGAGACGCCGCTCTGAACGCATGCACCGCAGCACCGGTCATGTGATCTGCAGAGGGGCGTTGCCTTGGAGACGTTCTGCGGCTGCGCCAGCGGATCTCCCGCCCAGAAGAGGAACACCGATTGGCCGGTAACTGTCAGGACCGACGAATCCTCCACTGCCAGACGAGGACACACAAATTCTGCCTCCCACAGGCTCCGCCCCCGCGCGCCATCCACGATCTGCACCTGCAGGTCACACGGACACTGAGTGCCATGCCCATCCAGCCGCATAATGAGATGATGAGATGCCACACCTGCCCAACTGCATAATGAGATGATCATGAGATGCCACGCCCACCCAACCACATAATGATGAAATGACACGCCCACCCAACCACATGACATGATAATGAGATGTTACACCCACCCAACCGCATAATGAAATGATGAGATGCCACGCCCACCCAACCACATGAGATGTCACATGCCACGCCCACCCAACCGCATAATGAGATGATCATGAGATGCCACACCCACCGAACCACATAATGAGATGATCATGAGATGCTACGCCCACCCAACCGCATGAGATGATGAGATGTCACGCCCAACCAAACACATGACATGATAATGAGATGTCACACCCACCCAACTGCATAATGAGATGATCCTGAGATGCCACACCCACCCAACCGCATGAGATGCTAATGAGATACCATGCCCACCGAACCGCATAATGAGATTATGAAATGCCACACCCACCCATCCGCATAATGAGACAATAATGAGATGCCAAGCCCACCGACCCCCATAATGAGATGATAATGAGATGCCACACCCACCGAACCTCATAATGAGATGCTAATGAGATGCACACCTTCCTCACACCATTGGCCGACCGATGAACAAGCAGATCAGGAACGCCGTCATCGTTGAAGTGACCCGCCGCCAGACGACTGCAAACACACACACAAACTTGTGTTTTCAACTCGTTACCTGCTAATGGGATTATTCTTGTTAAATAAAAATAACTAAAACCGTTAAATAAAAAAATACTTAAAATATAAAATTACTCTTATGTCAGTTTCATTTCTAATTTTTGTTAAAATGTAAATGGAAAAATATGAAAATACAAAAAAATGCTTTAAAATATTACAAAAAATGTGCAAAGAGATTACTGAAACTAACTCAAATTAAAATGAACACAGAAATATTAAAATAAAAATTTATTTAAAATATTACTAAAAACATGCAAAGGAATTACTAAAACTTCAACTCAAATTAAAATAAAAACGGAAATCAATACAAAATTATTTAAACTATTAATAAAACTACAAAAACACACAACAGAAAACTTTTACTATGGAAAAATGGAAAAGATAAAAATAAAAACTAAATCAAATAAAAAAACTGCAAACTGCCACTGAGTGTGTGTACAGGTATATATGGTTTATGAGGACACAAATGTGTATAATGATATGGGTACTACAACGTAAACATGGTTTATGAGGACACTTCCTGTGTCCCCATAAAACAAAAGGCTTAAAAAACCTACAAAACAGTCTTTTATTAAAATTCAAAAACTGCCAGTAGTTTTCTGTAAGGGGTAGGTTTAGGTGTAGGGTTGGTGTAGGGCGATAGAAAATACAGTTTGTACAGTATAAAAACCATTACGCCTATGGAGAGTCCCCGTAAACTACTAATGCAAGTATGTGTGTGTGTGCGTGTGTGAGGAAGTTTTAGTGGATCAAAATGTTTACAAATATCTATTGATACAATTTCGAGTGTCAACACTCTTTTTTTAAATTTAACTTTAGCTGATACATTCTATTTTCATACTTAAAATGTCACGAAAACTTGTTTGGCAACACTTTTGTCAAGAAAAATGGCTTTAAAGGTGCGGAATGTATTTTTCTTTGAATGTACTAAAGCATAAAAACTCTTATCTAATACATTTGCAGATATTTAGGAAACATGCCAAGTTCACATACTTGTTTCTCCGAAAAACAACGCTAAAGCCAGTTATTCTACTTTGAACATGTGCATTCCGTGTCAGAATGCCTGGTTATGTCTGTGTGATTCCACCCACTGCCAGTTTAACCAATAGGTGCCGGCAGGGCCGTAGCTAGTGGGGTGAAAGGTGGTGACGATTATAGGGGCCCATGGCAGTCGGGGGGCCCATGGCTGTCGGGGGGCCCCCGGCGATTTTAAAGGCCAGTGTGAAAAACACTCGGGACAGTCGATGGATTGCCTGACCGGTTTACTGCTGCGCATTGTCTTGAAAGCTTATCATTTGCACATGTTTTTAAGCTTTGCCCGTTTAAACATTCAAGTGATTTTAAAGCTTTCAAGCTCAAGAAGAAGCGAAAGAACTTAATTCAGTACTCACGCACATGCACAACACACACAGAGCCACGTCTCATAGCCCGCTAACACCAAATTGAGTTCTCTTTTGCGCTTGAATGGATAAATACAAGCAAAACTGGGTCTTGGTGAGTATCCTCGAAATATGTCTGTTATGTCTTAAGTGAACGTAAACAGTTGAGAAATATGTGTATCATTATATTGGATCCATGCATTTTGTCTTAAGTGACTGTGCCTAATTTACTAGCTGCTGTCTATGTTAATCCAAGAAAAAGAGAGAGAGAATCACTAACTGCTCCTGAATAACTTAACTGTTGTAGCTTTAACGAGGATTAATCTCGTTAAAGATGGCCCTGGCCCTGGTCATAGTGATAATCATAAGTGTGTGTGTGTGTGTGTGCACTGGTTTGGGTGGTTTATGAGGACACAAATTTGTATAATGACATGGGTATGATATGGGTACTACAACGTAAACATGGTTTATGAGGACACTTCCTGTGTCCCCATAAAACAAAAGGCTTAAAAAACCTACAAAACAGTCTTTTATTAAAATTCAAAAACTGCCAGTAGTTTTCTGTAAGGGGTAGGTTTAGGTGTAGGGTTGGTGTAGGGCGATAGAAAATACAGTTTGTACAGTATAAAAACCATTACGCCTATGGAGAGTCCCCATAAACCACAAATACAAGTGTGTGTGTGTGTGTGTGTGTGCGCGTGAGTGTGTGTGTGAGTACACACGTGCGTATGGAGGCGAGGCCGAGGCTCCAGATGGGCCGAGTGTCGCTGGCTCTCAGCACAGACAGACGTCTGCTGGAGTCACTCAGCACAATCCAGTCACTGCGACTGCAGTTCAGCGCTGACACTCCATCCAGATTCCTGAGACGCTGACACGAACCCACCACCAGAGAGAGCAGGAAATCCACCCGCTCAGAGACGCTGACACACACAAACACACAGAGAGTCAGACACACACACATCAATTCGTAACAGTGAATGAAGAGGTATCACAAGTGCAGTATGGAGTACCTCAAGGCTCAGTACTAGGACCCTTACTTTTCACGCTTTACATGTTATTCTTGGGAGATATCATCAGGAAAAACAGTGTTAGCTTTCACTGTTTTCACCGATGATACACTAAATTCGAATTTTGCACTTAAATATTATCAATATTCAAATTATATTTTAATTTAAAAGGTATAATTTTAGTTAGGGGAAAACATCTTCTGGCTTCTGTCCTCAGGCCACAAGAGGGCGCATTGTGCAAAATATATAAATGCACGCTTATTAAAGCTGGTGCGTTCCAAGTTATTTCGGATAGATCGTATTTACGAGTTGAACGCACATGAATGCCACCACAAAGTCGTTATTACGAGTGGGAAACTTGAAATTTTCCTTAAGCCCATAGTTTCCGAGTTGGTCAGTGAGAAAACGTGTTGGATGCAATGTACGCAGCCAAAGATAATAGATATGCAGTGTCTGTATCGACGGTAAATTTGTTTAAATGAATAAAAAAAAAAAATTTGTAATGTAAAATAAAACTATACAAGTTACATATACACAATATTTTATTATTGTATAATTATCATAGAATATATAATGATTCAGTTTATATCACCTTCAAAAATGAAATAAAAACAGAAAAAAGCAAAAACACAATGATCTTTATTCATCATTTTGTAGATGTAGAGTTTAAAAAGCTGAATTTTATGTAGAAAAGTTAAATTGCCACCATGTTCCAACCAAAGTGACTTGAATGCACCTGATGTCGTAATTATGATTTGTCAACTCATAAGTACGAACGTCCCAGGAGGACTTGAACGCAGCGTATCTGTGACAAAGTGCATGTTTATAAACCAAATATAATTAAGTTGTCATCTCATTATCTTAAACAATTATAAACAAAACAGCATCATGTATGTATAGTTTAATACAAAGTGGTGAAATCCAATCTCAAAGAGTACTTTTTTTTTCATTTAAAAAAAAGAGATGCAGTGGGATGGGAAAAAAAAACCCTGCCATAAAGTCTTGAGACATGTTTTTTAAAAGTTGAACTTGCATTAATTTCCCATGGCTTTCTTTTCTAAACATGCGGCTCTCTTGTGCGAGACAAGAGTGTAGCGGTGAAAGATGTCCCTCTAGAAAATGCGATAAATATGTGTTGTGTGTAGGGTTGCAAAGGCACGGAAAATTTCCGGAAACTTTCCATGGGAACTTCGTCTGGGGAATTTTGGAAATATTCCAAGTTTGAAACTTACCAGGAATTTACGGGAATTTTTGGGAATTAATTGGAAATTTGGGGAAATGTATAAAACTATCATATACAAACATAAATATAAACATTTTGTTTGATCATAGGCTCACATGCACGCAAACAAATACACATTTTAAAAATGTTTGGATTTTTGGGGGAAATCTGTGATGCTTTTTTCAGGATTTATTGATGAATGAAAACTAGGGCAAGATGCGCATGACAATCACATGCGATTCATCGTGCAGCCCTAATGAAAACTTGTGAACAGTGTTTATTCAAAATAGAAATCTTTTCTAACAATATAAGTCTTTACTATTACTTTTTATTAATTTAACACATCCTTGTTGAATAAAAGTATTAATTTATAAAAAAAAAAGAGAAAAGATACTGACCCCAAACTTTTGAATGGTAGTGTATTGTTAAAAAAAGATTTCTATTTTAAATAAACGCTGTTCTTTTTTTAACTCTTTATTCATCAAAGAATCCTGAAAAAATAATAAAAATAAAAATATTAAGCAGCACAACTGTTTCCAAAATTGATAATAAATCAGCATATTAGAATGATTTCTGAAGAATCATGTGACACTGAAGACTGGAGTAATGATGTTCAAAATTAGCTCTACATCACAGAAATACATTATATTTTAAAGTATATTAAAACAGAAAACCATTATTTTAATACCAGTAATAAAACGTTACTTTATCAGGCATTACAGGAAATGACGAAATGAAAATGACACTTTTCTGAAGACGGTCGGTTCTTTTCAAAGATACATTCTTTTAAAAACACCAGTGCTGCATTTTAATTTTCAAACGTGCAGTGCTCAGTTTATTCAATGAAGTAATAACTTATAGGAAACACTGGACACTGCTATAAGTCAAATGGTCAAGTGATAACAAAAATGAAAGAGTTCACACATATTACACAGCAAAAAAAAAAAGTTAAACGTGAAAGTTAACGTGCACGTTATAATCAGCCCAGAAGTTTCGTTTCTACTTTCACATGCAAATGACTTGTTGCACTTATGAATATAACTTTCCGGCATCAATTCTAGTAGGGTCAAACGTAATCACGCTTTCGAAACGGTCTGTTTTGCCCTGCCATCATTAGCTGAAGCTGTGTGTGAACAAGCCGCGGCTGCAGAAGGGTTGCCAGGTTTTCACAAGAAAACCCACCCAATCGCTACTCAACCACAGACTTGGCAACACAGGGCTGCAGAGTGTGAGCTGCTCCGTCTCTCACGCAGCTCAGAGGGAGTTCCACAACAACGCTTAGCTGCACGCTGGTGCGCCTGCCTATAAATCGGCCTAATTTGCAGCACAATCGGCCGATGCCGATAAATTAAAAATGCCAAAAATTGGCCGATCAATCGGGAATCCCTAGAGGGGATTGTGTGTGGGGGAGGGTCATTTTTAGACTTCTGTTTTATTATTATCTCACCTAAATGTTTGTTCAGTCAGTGTATTTGTTTTTACAATGGTGTCGCCTATTTAGTTGCACAGTATTTTAAACAATGTTTTGTAACATTCATGTAATTTACATGAATACTTACCAAGATGGAGATTTTGATATTTTGTGTGCAGGATTTAAAGAAATGATCTGTTCATGTTATGGAGGAAAGCACAGTGCATGTGTGGCCTCAATAGCCCTGCAGTAAGCAGTGTGCTGTGTGCTCTGTGCATGTGATTGAGCAATGTGTAGGGTAGACATTTAAACTGTTTTAACCAAGATTATGCTGCATAACTACATTTAAGTCCCCAGTTCCTGCAATTTAGCAAATTTCCAGCATATTCCTGCACCTAAAATTCGAATGCAACGTTTTTGCATTCGAATGTGGATTTTAATTTTACATTCGACGAATATTCGAAATTCTAATTTTTATTTGACAGCACTAACACACACAGAGTCAGACGAGAGAGAGTGCGTGTGTGTGTGTGTGTGTTACAGTGTGTGTGTGTTACAGTGTGTGTGTGTTACAGTGTGAGTGTTTGTGTTACAGTGTGTGCGTGTGTGTGTGTGTGTGT